AAAATACAAAAAAATAAAAATAAAAAATGATTAAAAGAAAGCCCAAGCCACTTCAAGTTAAAATGAAAAAACTTATGATATAAATCGTATGGTCTGACCACCTTCATAAAAAATAAATAAATAAAATTAATTTTAAAGATTGAAATACCAAAAAAAAATTAATTTTTAATGATAATAATTTGAATTAATATTTTATATTTGTGATTCAAAGTCGGGATAATTATAATAAAAAAATTATAAAATTTAATTTTTAATAAATATAATACTGAATGTTAATATTAAAAAAATTAATTTCATAAAAAAATTTAAAAATAAAAAATAAATCTGATATAAAAATGATGATAGAAAGTATAATTTTTTTTTTAATTTTATAAAAAAATTAAAAATTAAAAAATAAATCTGAAATAAAAAAACAAGTGATGATAGAAAGTATAATTTTTTAAAAAATAAAAGCAAATAAATAAATTACAAGAGGATTTATATAATTAATCATATGGTAAAACGTCGAGGGGTCAATTTCAAGCTAGGAAGTCTGTGATCAGGCATGTTAAGGTCATGACACGCTGGGACATGTGCTTTTAACAGGCAACAAAAAACTTGCTTAATTATTTAGGTAGGGAGAGATGCATAGTTGCGTACTACTCAAGCTCGTACGCAGATGATATAGACAGGTCGTTTCTTTCTCTTTTCCGTGCTTACCTCTTGAGTCACCTTTTTGTTTTCGTTGAAAATAATATTATATACCTTGGCCTTCTTAGAACAACGAAGGGATTTTTTTTTTATTTTATCAGGGCTAATTATTTTTAATTTGATTTTTTATAAAAATGAGTAATTAAATTGAATTTTTTTTCTAAAACTTAACTGACCTAAAATCAATTTAAACTGAACATTTTAGATTCAATTTAGTTTTTTAAAAATAAAAATTAATTCAAATCAGTTTAACTTGATTTTTCTGATTTGATTTGGTTTTGACTCTATTTTTTAAGTTTTGACTCGGTTTTTTCTGGTTTTTTTATTTGGGTTTGAATTGGTTTGATTTTTTTATTTTTTTCTTATAAAACTGATTTGGTTTTTTCATCTTTTTTCTTATAAAATTGAAATCAAACAGAACCGAACCAACATGTTTTTTTAAAATTTTAATTTGTTTAATTTATTTTTATTGTTTAGTTTTTTTTAATTTTCTCAATTTAATCAATTTTTTGATTTTTTCCTCCTCCTGACTTCTTGTTCTTCTTTTTCCTGGTATTAAGCAAAGTTATTATTATTTTTGTTAGGTTTTTTATTTTTTTAAATTTATTTTTAGTATTAATATATTAAAACATTTTAAAAATACTAAAAAAATAATTTAAAATAAAATAAAATAAATTCAATTATTTTTAAAAACGCGGGCTGTTATAAAAACATACACTGCCTACACTTTCATGTAAATAATAATATAAGATTTATACGATGGACATGTTGATGAAGACAATCAAAATATGACATCTGACTTTTTTTAAATAAATAAAGTTGTGATCAAATTAGTCAAATTTAATCAAGTGAAATTCCACATGGTTTTATTTGTTAAACTTAGAGGTTTAATTATAATAGTTAGAAAGATAACATTATTTCTGCATTAGTGCTTTTGTATTTAAACTAAATTACTTTTATTTTGCTTAATTAATATTATCATTTATAAGCAGATTAAATGCATTAGCAAGAAATCTTTATTTTTTTAAAAAATTAAATCCAAAATAACAACGTAGTAAATAAACTCTCTTGTAACACGAGCTAAGTTTGAAGTATTAGCATCAAAACGAAAAGAAAGGTTCTCCCATCATGTGACTGAGAATCTAATAATTAAGTTAAAAATGAGGAACTAAGTAACCAAAACCATGTCTTACGGGGAAAACAAGACAACAAGCAGAGAACAAACTGGCGAAGTTCAAGCAGCAAGCAGAAGAATGGCCCCATCAAGCTTTGGAGCATTCGCCGGGAAAAGAAAATCTATAAAATTATTGATGGGAGCACATAGTGATGATGTGCCGTTGATTTTATATGAAACAGGCCCATGACACTTCTTCTAGAAACTTAATTATAAATCCGGTAATTGCAGTGGGACAGGAAGGGCATGGGTGTCAAAATATGGTTCAGGCCAGTTTATTCTTTTCTGGACAGATCTGTGGAGTTAGAAACCTCATCCAAACAACCTGGCTTAAAAGTGGAGAGAGAGACACTAGTAGCCTACTAGCCTTTCTTTTTCCCTTTATATTCCTTCCATGACTTGTTCCTCTACGTTCGATGTTTTTTTCTTAAATATTATTAAAAAATTTAAAATAAAATTTTAATATATAATTTATATTATTTTTTAATATATCTCCTAGAGTAAAAATTATTTAAATTTTAAATTTTTATATATTTATACTATATTATATTTATTTTTTATCATATAAATAAAAAATAAGATTCAAATTCGTGATTGTTTAATTATTAAAATTCTAATATCATAATAATAAATTAATTCAATTCAAAAACTTATATATATATATATTTAATTTCAACATCAATATATTAAAATTATAAAAGCACAAAAAAATAAAATAAACTTAATGATTTTTCAAGTGAAGTGCATTTTTAGAAAGCATATAAAAACAAAAATTACCATACTCATAAACACTATTTGAGATGTAATTGACTTGGAATTGATCACTAAAAAAAAAGTTCTATGTTTGTTTTGAAAAATATGAAGTTATATGGTTATTATTTTCTACGTGCAAGTGTTTACTTGATTGGATTGAAGTGTAAAATCAAAACCACTGTAAGGCCTTTTTTCTTTGACAAAGCATCCAGCAGCTCTCACAGGCTCTTTATTTAAAATCAAGTTTTCTCACCTCTCCATCGAATGTTAAGGATATTTACAAGTCACTGTCCTGTCTTTATAACGATGGAGTATTGTCCACCGTTCTCCTAAACCACGTCCAACTCCCTAGCAGGCACGCCATTTTCAATCTAGTATTAGCTGCAGCACTCAATTCAAGGACTAACTTGAAAAAAAACTTCCATTATCAGGTCAATTCCTGAATAACTGGATAAACTATTTTTATCAAAATAATAATATTTCATTTTTTTATGTCGACCCGGGAGTTCAGCGTCAATTGCAAAAGAGTTTGCTAGGTCGAACTAGTTTGACTGGGTCTAGCTCGTGTTTGGTTGTTCATCTAAAGTTTTCAAATTAACTTGTAAAACCAGGTTGGAGTTAACAGTGACCCTGCAAAGATGTTTACGTTGCGTTGGCACGAGGTTTGTGGCCAAGCGTGATTTGTCTTCGAAGGAGAAAACGACAGAGTCACGTTGGTGTTTGCTTGGCTGTTGTCCAAACCTTATCTTTAAGCGCGTGAGGCACAAGACTTTTTTTTTTTTTTTCGCGTGAGGCACAAGACTTTTTTTTTTTTTATTTCTAAATTTCAATTCACCAGACAAACTTTGCTTTCCTTGATTGCAATTTGTTGTCACACTGGTTGGTTCACCTACGCCACTAAATAAATAGTGCAATCTCATTGCCCACAATTAGGACCTAAAATAGTAATATATTTACTTACATACCAAATTTAAAGAAAGTGACCTCTTTAAAAGTTGGTTAATTAGTGCCCCTTTGAAAGGATAATAATTAAATTTATTTCCATAAAACAATTTATACGAAAGGGCCAGCTTTTAGAATGTGCACGAGCAATGTCCAAGGCATCGCCAAATCATGGAGAAACCAGGAGAAGGAGAGAAAATGCTCACCAAATTATCACCGTCGATGTTGTAATTGGACATTTAAACACAATTTTTTATGGCACTCATGAAATAAGTAGTAATGTTCTATTTGGCTGAATTAATATAAAAAAACACAAAAATAAAATAAAATTCATGAGCCACAAGAAATAATAAAAATATCTTTACTTAAGATTTCTCTTTCCTTAGTTATATATTTTTTTAAGCTAGCACATAAAATAACTAATAAAATATCACTATTTATTCCATAATAACCACAAAATTTATCCGTAACCATTATTCCTTTTATAATGAATGAAAAACAAAAACCCACCACTTAGTGCAACGTGCATTCTGTGGTATGCCAGCTAAGAAAAATAAAGAAGGGATTATTTACGCGCAACAATATCAAGAAAAGAAAAAAGGACAGAATTTTTTTTGTGATATTTGCAAAATTTCTCCCAGCCAATAAGAAAAAGAGAAAATTCATGAAAGGATAAGAACCGGGCCCAAAAGTAATAATGATTTGTTGCCACCAATCATGAATTAAAAAAAATATTCACCTAAATTTTATTCAGACAGGTTAAACTAAAGTAACATGCTATTTTTCTTAGAACATTTTTTTTGGACCTATCATTATGAATATGTTTTATAGAAGTAATTTATGCGATAATATAGTTTAATTTATTCACTAATTAAAATAAAAAAAGTTAGCGACATATACTTTGGGTTAAGAAAAGACGCATTAATTTTTTACAAATCTATTTTTGAAGTTTAACTTATATGGTAAGCGAATCTATATGCTAATTGGCATTAGGGTTTCCTATTCAAGAAAAAGTTGACAGGGAATATTTTTTTTTTTATAATTTATTGGTTTGATTTGGAGATAAAAAATTGATTATAATTTTTTATTTTAATATTAAAATATTTACGAATTGGTATTTAAAAATAATAATTAAAAGAAATAATAGCTCAGAATGAGACGTTTGGTTAGGTGGCAACCCTGTAAATAAAACACTGAAAATAAACACAGTGGTTATACATGGAAATCCCCGCAAATTCAGGCTTAAATAAGGCCATATTCAGCGTATTAATAACGCCTGATACGATCGCGCACTTATGGAAAATCCGAAAGGCAGAGGTACCTATCACTTGTATAAGCAGAACTGCTTATCACTAACCTTATTAGTCCAATTATCGCATCTCATCTCCTCTCACGGGTATTTGATTTGTCTGACTATACCTCCCTCTCAAATCCCTAAAACCTATCTCTCTCTATAAATACCAGTAGAGTTCATAGAGAGAGAAACCACAAAATTCAACAACTTGAACTAGAGAGAGAAAGTTCAAAAAAGCTGTGAAACGACATATCGTCCGTTCTCTCTCTATCTCAACAACAATTCTTCTCCGATCTGGAAACAGGTATGGAAATTTGTTCATTTCTCTCTGAATTCTGGAAATTCACGTGATTTTTTATGTTTGATTTCTGTATGTTTAGTTTTTAATTCTTGTGAGGTTTTAGATCTCTTTATGAGTTAGTTAATTTTTGAATTTTTTTGTTGGTTGCAGGTTAAAGGAGTTTTTTTTTTTTTAATTGTTTTTGGAAGAATTGTGATTATGTCTTCGCTTAGCAGAGAGCTTGTGTTTCTCATACTTCAATTTCTCGAGGAAGAGAAATTCAAGGAAACTGTTCACAGGTGCGTAATTTTACACTTTATTTATTTTTGATAAAATTGATTTATTTTTTTGTGGTTCATTTCTTGTTATTGTGATTTGGATTTGGTGGGAATTTGTTTTGTTAATTTTTTTTTGTTCGTGTCAATTTTTTTATGGGTGGAGACTGGAGCAAGAGTCAGGGTTTTACTTTAACATGAGGTATTTTGAGGAAATGGTGACAAATGGAGAGTGGGATGAAGTGGAGAAGTATCTGTCAGGATTTACGAAAGTTGATGATAATAGATATTCGATGAAGATTTTCTTCGAGATTAGGAAGCAAAAGTACCTTGAAGCTTTGGACAAGTATGTGCTTGCTTGCTTTTTCTATACAGTTAATTAATATGGATTTTGTTTTTAATACATTTCCTTTCTGGGGGTTATGATTTTGATTCGAGTAATCGTGACATGGGCTGAACTAATTGTTGCATGGGCCCACTGTGATAAGTGGGGGCCACTGTAGCGGTTAATTTGATTGGTCTAGTGTGAATAGGGAGTGGTCCATGTAGCAGTATTTTACTTTGAAGCATTGGTTAATTTTTGCACGGGTGAAAAAATGCAGGCGAGATCGTGCGAAGGCAGTGGAAATTTTAGTGAAGGACTTGAAAGTATTTGCAGCGTTTAATGAAGAGCTTTTTAAAGAAATTACGCAGTTACTGACGCTGGAAAACTTTAGGTACATAATTTTTATTTTAATTGTTAGTCTTGTTCTATTGAGCCTAATTTATTGATGATATCTGGATATCCTGTGTTTGTTTACTTTAATTCGCAGAGATAATGAACAGCTATCCAAATATGGAGATACCAAGTCTGCTAGGGGTATAATGCTTGGTGAACTCAAAAAGTTGATAGAGGCTAACCCTCTTTTCCGTGACAAGCTTCAGTTTCCTAGTTTGAAGAATTCTAGATTGCGGACTTTAATTAATCAAAGGTTGTTGAGAATTTCATGTCTTACTTCCGTATGTTGACTCTTGTATTGAAGTTGGTTTTTTTATCACTCACTTTCCTTGCCATTGAATTGCAGTTTAAATTGGCAACATCAGCTTTGTAAGGCTCCGAGGTCTAATCCTGATATAAAGACTTTGTTTGTTGACCATAGTTGTGGACAACCAAATGGCGCACGGGCCCCATCCCCTGTCACTAATCCCTTAATGGATGCTGTGCCTAAGGCAGGGGGTTTTCCTCCAATAACTGGTCATGGAGTAAGTGGCAAATCTGAAAGGAGTTACCCTGTTTATCTATGCTGGTTTTGAATTATGAACTTATATGACTCTGGATATACATGCTTGCAGCCATTTCAGCCCACGCCAACTATTCCACCTTCTCTTGCAGGATGGATGGCGAATCCATCTACTGTCCCTCACCCATCTGCTTCTGCTGGGCCCATGGGCTTGGCTGCTCCTAATAATGCAGGTAGACTACATCAGACATTTGGAACAGCTTCTTTAGATAGTTTTTAATGTTCTTACAGTCTTTGACAAACATCCTTGGAATCTATTATAACACACATGTACAAACTCAAGAAGGAAGTTTTAGCTATAATAATATAGATAATGATAGTAGAAATGTGCTCTTAATTTAAAAGAGGAAATTTATTACTAAGGGGTAATTGGTACTGCTCAAAGATCATATCTTTACTTGATTATTACCTTCATCCAGCTATAACCCTAGCAAAGGGCAATGTTTAGACATCTTATTTTTTGCATTTTATGCAAACAAATATATATACTGAATATGCATTATTCTATTGGGATCTTATCTGCTTGACAGAAGTACGAGTATTTTATTGACAATGTTTTGTTAAAATGATCTTGAGTTAATATTTCATAGCAGAGAATTTGATTGGTGATTCAATCTCTTCTTCACACTACTTTTCCATTTAATGTCCATGGTTTCTTGCATGTTAATTTGCCTCTACTTCTTCTTTGTATCTTCATTGTAGTACCACTCTTAAAGCGTCCTAGGAGCCCTCCTACCAATAACCCAGCTATTGACTATCAAACAGCAGACTCTGAACACGTGTTGAAGAGGTCAAGACCATTTGTATCAGATGAGGTATAAACTGAAATTGGCCCCTGTCCTTTACATTCCTATGCTGCGTTTTTTCCTTAATATGATCTTTGATGCCTTTTGCTATTATGAATTTGGAAATACATTTTAGTGTGATTTTTGAGATGCCAAGGTGGATGATTTAGGTGGATGCAGATATAGATTGAAACTGTTTCGATATCCATGCTTGGAGGTGGACTGTGGTGTGTGTGCATGTGCATTCCAATAAATATTGTGGGATCAAGCTTCTCATGATAGAGCTAAGATTTGGCTGAATAAAAAAAGTTAATTTGTTAACTATACCAGTTGTTCTTCTTTACTGGATATTCTATCAGGTCAATAATCTTCCAGTAAACATTCTGCCTATTGCTTACCCGAGTCAGAACCACGGCCAAAGCTCTTACTCTTCTGATGACTTGCCCAAGAATCCTGTCATGACTTTAACTCAAGGTTCTGCTGTGAAGAGTATGGATTTCCATCCACTCCAACAAATTCTTCTTCTTGGTAAGCAGCCTCAATATATAGAACAACTGCTCCCATCTTTACGGGTGTGGGTGCTCGTGCATACTGTTTGCAAATTTGCCAGTTGTTTTGGAGACTATCATTTGTTGCTTCACTATTTCAGTTGGAACAAGCATGGGTGATGTGATGGTATGGGAGTTGGGCAGCAGAGAAAGGATTGGTTGGAAGAAGTTCAAGGTTTGGGACCATAATGCATGCTCAAGGGCTCTGCAGGTACATTTTAACAAGTTTAATGGAATATGAAGTAATTATGATACTTTCTGGAGCTGTTATATCAGGTTATGTTTAACTGACTGATTATCGTGTAGGCATCTCTGTCCAGTGATTATACAGCATCGGTTAACCGTGTGGCATGGAGTCCTGATGGAAATTTATTTGGTATGTTAAAATATTATGTTTCTAGCTTGCTTTACCTAAAAGACAACTTTTTCCTGAATGGAAATCAGGAAACTTGCCAGATATGTTATGTTTTTTCTTCCTTTTCCAGGTGTTGCATACTCCAAGCACATTGTGCATGTATACTATTATCATGGTGGTGATGACATACGAAATCACCTTCAGGTTTGTGCCTGTAGTGGATATCATTGAAGCCCAGTGTCTTTCCATTTCAACATGATGTCATCTATCTTCAATACATGTATTAAAAAAAAAAAAAACTAGCAGTGTTCATTTATCATGCTGCAATCCTGTGGATACATACTGAAATTTACTGTCAATTTTCCTTGTGTTTTAGATTGATGCTCATAATGGGAGTGTCAATGATCTTGCTTTCTCTTACCCAAACAAACAACTTGCCATCGTCACTTGTGGCGATGACAGGACCATCAAGGTATGTTTCTTACATCTCTATTTATAGCATCTACATAATGGTGTTTTTTAAGTGTTTGTGAATCTGCAGGTTTGGGATGCGGTTGCGGGGACCAGACTGTTCAATTTTTCAGGTCATGAGGCACCTGTATATTCTGTGTGCCCACATCACAAGGAAAATATTCAGGTAATATACAGGATGTTAGCTGGACCCTCTCCACCTCCAGTTTTTACTTATTTCTGATTGATAAATGCTAAAACAAAATTAGCAATCTGTTTGTGAGCAGTTGGCAAATGGAGATTTATTGCTAGTTTAAATTCTAGTTTTATGAATAGAAATCTGAGTCAAATTTTAAATTAAACATAGGTTTTCGAAATCATATTTAAATGCGTAAAAACAGAGGCAGAGAAGAAATATTTTGGGAACTTCCCACACAAAAACTGTTTGAAAAAAAAAAAAAAAACTGAAAGGGGAGATCAGAGAGATAAAGGGGGGGATTGGATACTGTAGAAGCATGGAAATGGTAAAATTATTTTTGAGAGAGTAGAGTGAGGCTAAAGAGCATTAAAGAGAGGGAGAAAGGCGTTTTTCTTCAATTTTTTAAGTTTCTATCCTTTTTCTTCTTTAATTTTATTTCCTTCTTACCTTCTCCCAGTTTATCTTTTCAACGGCAGCTGATGGAAAGATAAAGGCATGGTTGTATGATAACATGGGTTCAAGAGTTGACTATGATGCACCAGGGAATTCGTCTACCACAATGGCATACAGTGCTGATGGAACTAGGTTTGTGTACATTCTTTATTGCTTTTCTGTTTTCTGCCAGTGATGAGAGATTGTTATTTCTTATTCCGTTTTCTTTTGACTGAGATATTCATTTCATCTTTATGGACAACTTGCAGGTTATTCTCATGTGGGACCAACAAAGAAGGAGAATCACACTTGGTGGAGTGGAATGAAAGCGAAGGAGCTGTGAAGCGTACCTATAATGGTCTTGCAAAGCGTTCTGTTGGTGTTGTGAAGTTTGATACCACTAAGAATCGATTCTTGGCGGCTGTAGATGAGTTCATGATCAAGTTTTGGGATATGGATAACATCAACCTATTAGCAAGTATTGATGCAGAGGGTGGATTGCCGGTAAAGTTCTGACAGTCCTTACTTGTTAAATCTGTTTGATCAAGCCCTTATGATGTACAATCAAGTGGTAAACAAAAAAAACCTAAAAGCCCTAGAGAACCCATTTCTGAAAACTCTGTTTATCCTGAGCAACTAATATTCATAACTTGTCTTGAAAAACCAACTAAGATGCTATATATATGTGCCAATATAGGCAAACATAAGATGGAGAAACTAAAATTCAATAGGAACAGGAAAACTTAACAATAGTTTTACTGAAAGAAAGGAACTAAAATAAAACATGATTAACTTATGGATATTCTACATGGAATAAGCAGTTTTTAAATCTGACTAGTACACTCACATTTAACATCTCTGTTATCATAAATTTTCAGGGTTCTCCTTGTATTAGATTTAACAAGGAAGGAACGCTGTTAGCTGTCTCAACAAATGACAATAGCATCAAAATTCTAGCAAACTCAGATGGGATCAGGCTGCTCCGAACAGTGGAGAATCGTACATTTGATGCTTCTAGAGCTGCTTCTGCTTCTGTTGTGAAGGTAAAACTTTTATAGGCATGGAAATTCTTTTGAGGACCTTTATGTCTCTAGAGGTATGCATTTAGAAAGTAATCTTATCTGAACATGCCGCATCTCATGGCAACTATTTGAATGCATGATTTGTATGCAGCCCCCACCAATAGGCAGTTTTCCTCCCGCCAATGCCCCAGTTGGAACAAGTGGCGATGATCAAGCTGCTCTTGCAGCACCCATGGTTGGAATGGTAGGTGTTACCTGTCCTTGTAGAATAATCTCATTTATCATATTGCCATGCATGCATCTCAGTGCAAAAGGATCTATTTACACATTCAATGATTTGATGCTTTCCTTTTGTTTTGAGTTTCTACAGAATAGTGACAGTCGAAGTTTAGTTGACGTGAAGCCTAAAATTCAAGATGAATCAGTTGAAAAATCTAGGATCTGGAAATTAACAGAAATAAATGAACCATCACAGTGCCGCTCCCTGAGGCTCCCTGATAGCTTGACTTCAATGAGGGTATGGTTTACTTTTTGCAAATTTTATTAGAAGGATGTTAATATGCTATTTATTCGTGTCATGTTCATGTTAAAAAAATGATTGTGCTCCTGAATAATACCGCTGAAAACTTAACACAGTAGTTTGCTGCTATACCGTTGTTTTCCCCCCTTCTGATCTGTCTATATATGTGAATATTTTGTGGCACTGTGGCAGGCTGTAATAAGTTGACATGCAAATTCATATCACTAATTGTGGAAGACATTAAATGCAATGAGATAATTAGATCATATTATGCTGGATGCGCACTTTCTTACATGTTAACACTTGCTTTTTTGGTGGCAAACACTAGCAGCTATGGTTTATGTTTGTCTGTTGGTCAAATTTTTAAACTTTCATTGTTTAATTTTTGTTTTTTGCAGCTGAGATTCGTAACTCATTTGGTAGTTTTTCCTTGTACTTATTCTGCAGCTGAAGTTTTATGCATTTGGGATTGCTTTGTATGTCATGTTCTTGAAGCTAACGACTTGTAAGTTGTAATTATATGGGTTTGGTGACAATTTTTTCAGGTGTCTAGATTAATTTATACAAATTCAGGAGTTGCCATATTGGCATTAGCATCTAATGCAGTGCACAAGCTTTGGAAGTGGCAGCGAAATGATCGAAATCTGTCTGGGAAGGTATTTTTATTGTGTCAGCTTTTTTTTCTTAATAATGTTGGAAGGTTTGTGCTTTGAAGGCACTTAAATTTACTTTGTGGAAGGGAGCATGTCTATATTGTTCTGTTGATTTAAAAACCTTGCCTTTAACAAAGTTCTTATTACCTGTTCTAGGCCAGTGCCAGTGTACCACCTCAATTATGGCAGCCTTCCAGTGGAATTTTTATGACTAATGATATTAGCGACACAAACCCTGAAGATGCTGTTCCATGCTTTGCACTTTCAAAGAATGATTCTTATGTCATGTCTGCTTCAGGAGGGAAAATTTCTCTATTCAATATGATGACATTTAAGGTATATCACTCTTTTCTCTAATTAAGCTCCATTCTATGTGCTTGATTGAATTATTATTTGTGTGATGCCATAAGGGCATGATTTAGTCAACTTTGTCGATGAATGGTCTATATGATGCTCGTTGCAGTCAAATTTGTACCCTTAACCTTTTTTTTTTTTAGCAACATAATACTGGACATTTCCTTTTGGAAAACCAAATTGTTTGGAAGATATACCAGATGATGTTATTGCTATTTATATTTCCTTATTAAATTGTGGAACAAAGAAATATTTAGGGCTAATTACCAGTTTGCAGATGAAAAAGGGTGGCTTTTTCTGTGGAGACTTGTTATCAACACATTTAATACTAGTTTTGCTATGCATTCTGTTCTGTCCTTGTATTTTTTTATCCATTTTTCTTGATTGCAGACAATGACAACATTCATGGCCCCACCACCAGCTGCAACGTTTTTAGCATTTCACCCTCAGGACAACAATATCATAGCTATTGGCATGGAGGACTCTTCTATACAAATTTATAACGTTAGGGTTGATGAGGTATTCGCTTTGATACCTCAAAATTTTAATTTTATTTATTGGAGGCAGAAAAGCATGAGTAAACAATTTGAAATATTCCATTATACAGGTCAAAACAAAGTTAAAAGGTCATCAGAAAAGAATTACAGGCCTTGCCTTCTCTCACTCTCTAAATGTCCTGGTGTCTTCTGGAGCTGACTCTCAGGTAAGAATTATTGGTAATGCAAGTCCTTGTGTGTCTGTTACCGTGGAATAAGCAATTAAGCCCTATTATATAAGGTCATGGATTTCAGAGAAGTCTAGAGGACCGATGTAGCAAATGGCAGTAACTGGCAATAACATGGAAAGGCTTGTCTTATCTGGAAACCTTTTTTCTTGGATTTTTTAATTTCATGTACCTTTTGTAATGCTTCTGTTATGAGGCTTTCTATATAATAGAATTCTGCCATCTTTTATCCTCGTGTATCTGATTGGCTGAAAAGAAAGAAGCTTGTATGATCATCAAGTATTCATTGTTGGAATTACTCACTCGGTTCTGCATGTGTTTTCCATCTGCAGTTGTGTGTTTGGAGCACGGATGCTTGGGAGAAGCAAGCTAGTAAACTCTTGCAACTTCCTTCTGGACGAGTTGCACCTTCTCTTGCAGATACGCGTGTTCAATTTCACCTTGACCAGATACACTTGCTTGCAGTTCATGAAACACAGATAGCTATATTTGAAGCACCTAAATTGGAATGCCAAAAGCAGGTTTGGTGTAGTTTCTGGAAATATTACAGTTGCACTCATTTGTTATTTCATACAATGTATATCATTTTTTTCAAGTGTCCTGTGGATTCTAATCACTTGAGATGATGTTATGCATGCATATAGTGAAATGGTGTTGCAAATATTTGTTGATTATTTTTAGTTGTGGGAATCTTGTCTCCTAAGCTCCTGACATTCTTTTCTATGAAACTGTATCCTTTTAATACAGTGGTTCCGTCAAGAAGCAAGCGGTCCAATCACGCATGCTACATATTCCTGTGATAGCCAGTCGATATTTGTTAGCTTTGAAGATGGAAGTGTGGTTGTTCTCACTGCTTCAACACTCAGATTGAGATGCAGAATAAGTTCTACTGCTTATTTACCACCCAATCCAAGGTTACTGCTTTTTTCCCCTCCATCTGTTTTTGGTTTCTTGATTTTGTTTTTTCCCTTTTGTAGAAGATTCTAACTATTTCAATACTCTTGCTTGTTTGCTCTGTCTAATGATGTAATTTTAGCAGCTTAAGAGTATATCCTCTTGTCATTGCTGCACACCCCGCCGAGCCTGATCAATTCGCATTAGGACTAACAGATGGTGGAGTTCATGTGCTTGAACCATTGGAGTCGGAAGGAAAATGGGGGACCTCGCCTCCAGTTGAAAATGGTGCTGGCCCTAGTGCAACTGCAGGCGCCGCAGGTTCTGAACAAGCTCAAAGGTAGCCAGTCATGTGCGCATGGCTTTCAACAAGGACCTTTATTGTCCATGCCTTCCATGCAGTCCCGCTCCCTGGGCCCACCACAATGTGATTTTCAAGGGGAAGCTGCGGAAATTAGGTACTGTAGGTTTAGTGTACTTGCATCCAGGATAGAGAGAGTTCGTTCAAGCGCCAGTGTAATCACTTTGCTTCTCAGAGCATGATGTTATCAGTTGCCCTCATCAGAAATGACTGGAGAAGCAAGGGTTTATGGCTGTACATTTCAAAAGTCAATTAAAAAGAGGAGAGATAAAGGTAAAGAAAAACTGAAGGTGAAGGCCCGACTATAGAATCTGAAAGGTTATTTTTAGGAAGAAACTTGAGTTGGTTTGGCCAGGGGAACTGGTTGTTTTCCCTGCCATTTTTATCTAGTTTCAGGGATGGTCATCTAATTTAATTTCATTTTTCTCTAGTCCCGAGCAGAAAATATTCGTGGCGTTTGACTTCTTTGTTATCTCGTTTTAGTTATTACAAGTATGTTTTTTCTGCACCTCGTTTTCTCCATAGTTGATTCTATCAAGAGTTGAGATTCCTGGTTTGGCACGGGCCATCTCCCTTGCTTAATGTTGCCTGCCTGGACTACCCCTCGTGAAACTTTTTGATATTTGGTCCGCCAAGGATGTGCCGAGCTGGTTACCTGACATGGTCCGAGGAAATTTAACATGTTTCCAAGGTGTCCAGTGATCAGTCCGATATCTCCCAGTTCAAATTCATCCCCGTCTTTTGTTCCCCCCCCCCCGGTCTATTTCAATGCATTATCAATTGTAACCGTCACTTCGTAGCAGTTCCATTGGTGCTTTCGGTGGGAAATTTAGCAAATCAATATCTCAATGGGCTGGAAGATGTCTAATTATTGTCTTCTGAAAAAGAGAGGGGACCTGACTGTTAATGCTATGCACCATAAAAAAGAACAATGATCTCGTCTAAGATGAAAAAAGAGGTCGATGCCAGGTCTCATCAATTTACTCTTGTTCTGGATAAAGCCGGATGAGTGGTCAATTCCAAACATCATTTTATGTGGTTGAGATGGTATCATTGTTTGGATTATTTTGGCCCTACTGGAACGTTAGCAGTCCGTAACAATTACAAAAAAAAAAAAAAAAAACTGAAAAGTGTTCCCCTAAATATTGTTTTTTTTTTCTTGCCCTTTGAAAAAAAAAAAATCCTGTAAATTGTTTAGGAGTAAAATAGTCTATGCATTAGGATAATTTTGGTGTTCAAAAATTGATTAGTAACAAGACAGGTATTTTGTGTTTTAATTGTGCTGTAAATTTAAATCACTATCCTTTGAAGTAATTAGTTTTTCGCTTCTAGTGAGGATTATTTTTGTATTTTCATAAAAAATACACAGTATAACAACCTTTTTATTCTTGGATTGAAAAAAAAAGAAAAACAACTAGTAACGAGGCCTTTTTGTAATTTTAAATTTTGTTGCACAATGAGAAAAACCTTGGCACCCTTAATGTCAAATGATTTAACCTTTAGGTTAAAGGGTATTTCTATTATTTTTTAGTTTTTTGTTTTTTTTCATAATTAATGATTTAGGGTTGGGTCATTTAAGAACTTTAATAATTTAAAAATATGCCAATAGGTGCTAATAGCTTTGCTGCTTTAGGACGACGTGTGTGGTTGATTCAAGAGACTAAATTTATCGTTTCAGAGTTACTTTTGATGTGTCTCAGTGTGTTCCCCATGAAAAAATAGTATATGCATCGATAAGTCTGATGGTTTATCGCCAGCGATCATTCCTTATTTTTTCTCCTTTCTTTCCTCTCTCTTTTATAGTTTTTGCGTCCACCCTGTAATTTTTTCAAATGAGCCATTAAACTTCCTTTTCTTTCTGACTTAGTCCATGCTATTTTGTTATTGTTTGCTTTATTTTAAATAATTTATGAAATTAGAATTTTATTTCAATTTCATCCTCATTCAAGTTCTTACTTTATCATATTAATCCCTATTCTTTTAATTGCTATTTATAAAATCTAATATGATTTTTTTGATTTCGCCCTCTATTATTTTTTTCCTATTAGATTTCATCATCTTTCCTTTAATTGTTATTTTTTTTCTTTGTAAAGTTTTTTAAATTGTTTTATTTTTTGATTTCATTCTTCAACTTTTAATTTGTTTGGATTTTAACTTATTAGTTAAGCCCGTGTCTAGTATTTCACAGGGTGCAAGTTTTGAAAATTAATCTACCTTTAAAGGGTTCTTTTGGGATTTATTTGTCTTATTTAATTATTTTTAAGCTTTTTTTTTGTTTTTATCCTTCAGTATTTGTTTAATTGGAGATTAGGCTTAGTTTTTCTTTTTTTCCAACTTTTTATGTCCTTTGTTTTATCCTTTATGTTTTTTACTTGAATGACTTCTCTCGAGTCTTTTTATTTGTTGTTTCTTATTAATTTTATGTTTATAGATAAATTTTATTCTCAAGTTAAATAGAATTGATTTATTGAATATAGATGGATGATCATCATTTTTCTTGGTTTTCTTTTCTGCGACGTTGCTTTAGTGACTCATACGACTTCTTTTAATTTTGTCATGCACTCTTAGCAAGGTACTCTGGTGGTGGGCATTGTCCACAGTGAAATTACTATGAGTCTTCGATGATCTTTTTTTTTTTTCCAGGTATGATATTGACTACTTATTTGTTTTAGTTATTTGTTACCATTATTTTTTGTTTGGTTCCTCTACTATCGTTGTTTATGATTTAAATCAGACTATTACATTATTTGATCTTATTAGATCCAACCAAATTAATGACTAAAGTATTAAGTTTTTCTTGCTTCTTGACAAATATTACCATTGCCTAAACATCCAAGTTGTATGTTAAAAAAATTTAATAGGCCAACGACGTAATGCAGGTCACATGTGTAATACTTGTTTAAAAGTAAAAATAAAAGATAATTATTAAGTCCATACATACCAAGCCTAAGTCTATACAAGTGTAAGTAAAATTGAATAGTGGCTCAAACTTTTCGTTCAAATCTATATAGGAAAAATTGTGTTATGGTTTGTAACGGTGTCTGTCTTCACCTATGTAAGTAGGATATGTTTAAGACATACTTCTTAAAAAATCTAAAATATTGGTGAAGTTTTCAAAGGAAAATCAAATGACCAAGAAGGGAATTTATTTGTAAAATTAGGACATCCATTTTCTTAGTTGTTTGTGTTTCTTTTTTTGGCACGATTACTAATTCTTGAGGAATGATCATTGATTTAAGCACCTATGTATAACTTTATGTGAAATCTAGTGAAAACAACTTTTTACCTTATTGAATAATATAAAAATAGAAACCCTTTGCTTCAACAACTAAAAATTAGCCGTTCCATAAACTAGTGAAAATATAAAAAAAATGCAATTAGTTATCGAATATATATATATACAGAAGAGTAATGCTATTTAATCAAATATATATATATATATATATATATATATTAAACTTAGAGGTTTTAAGGAAAAAAAGCTCTCTAAATGGAGAGTTTTCATTATATTAAAAAATTACAAGAGTATAAAATATGTACATGATAATTTCTAGCTTTTAGAACATTAAAACTATCATATACAATTAACCTATAATTAGTATATCTAATAAAGGAAAGATTTACAAACAAAGAAACTAGTTGTAAAAGCCATACAAGGTATAGAATTTGCTGGCTTTAAACTAACTTTCCTTTGACACACCTTTTAAATTGATGTTGATAAATCTATAAGAATCAATTTGCTAACAAGAAAATGATGTTGTTCATGTGTCATGGCTTTGATAAAGATGTCCATGATTTGTAGATTAATGGAGATGTGTGGAAGGGTAATAAATTTTTGGTCAAAGGCCTCCCGAATAGAGTGATAGTCAATCCATATGTGCTACATATGCTTGTGGTAAATGAATTTGATATCAAATTTGGATAATGTTAGTGTTTTTAGTACGTAGTGGAGTAGACTTGGGACAAACCAAGCTTTATAAGGAGTTTACACAACCAAATGATTTTAGAGTAGGCAATAAACATGGCACGATACTGTGTCTCAGTGGAGGACTGAGAGATGCAATCATGCTTTTTACATTCCCAAGAGATAAAAACATCATTAAAAAATAAACACTATTCGATAATGAATTTTCTAGTTCACAGGCAACCAGTCCAATCAACATCACAATAGGATTGTAATTGGAGGTAAAGAGCCACCAGGGAAGAATAAGCCATAACTAAGTGTGTTTAGATGGCACGACTAAAAGATTGATGTCTTCTTCCAAATGCTGAAATGTCAAAATAATAAATAATCCGGTAAGAGCAAAGTCAAACCACAAGAAGGTTAATTGTGTAAATTATAAACAACAATAATACAACAATAACAATAATAATAGTAATAATAATAGTAGTAATAATAAAGAAGAAGAAGAAGAAGAAGAAGAAAAAGAAGATGATGAAAACTTTGAGATGAAAGATTAATGTGAGGATTAAACAAGGATAATAACAAATATCAAGATTAAAAGATCCACTAATGATATTTCAAACAAGTATAGTATAAAATTTTATTATTCAATTGGAAACCACATACAAAGGAGGTTCCAATCATATTATAAATCGTTAACATGATTACATTAGTTATCTTATTCGAATAATGTTAATAGTTGTAAATATTGTCAAACATTTATAATTATAACTTATGTTAACAACAAATTAAGTTTTTTTCATAGCAAAAGTCAATGACAAAGAAGCCAGTATTTATAAGATGGGGGTGTGGGAAGGGTATGAATAAATTTGGTTGTTTTCCTGGATAAGACCTTTGCAAGGTAGTAACATTGGTTTGCTAGATCAACTTTATGCAATCCTTTCAACAGTGCACCTAGACAAAGATGGAGAGGATAGACTAATCTAGAAGGATAATAAAATAGAAAGATTTTCAGTGAAATCTCTTTATGGGTTGTTAAGTCCCAAACCTTACACAAATAGTGGCTTCTTTTTTGCTGGGATTGGGAAATGTATTATCCCTTATAAAGTGGAGATCTTTTACTAGATGACTATCATTAATAGAATTAACACCTAGTGTATGTTGGTTCGAAGAGGTATTTTGAGTATTTCAGAGTTTAACTACCCTATATGCCTAACGAAGGAAGAGTCGGTTGATCATATCCTATTACACTACCACAAGCATTGGATCATTTGGTTTAAAATCATTAAGTGGTGGGGTTTAGATTGGTGCTGCCCAAAAAACTTCTTAGATATGTGGTCTTAGTGGACTTATCTGATGCATGGTAAGTTTCAGAAGAAAACTTGACTGATGTTGTTTTTCTCAGTGGTATGGTTCCTGTGGCTTCTTTGAAATGATTTAATTTTTCAACAGAAGATACCTAACCATGATACAATCTTTTTTCTTATTATCACTCATATATGTTTATGGCTAAAAGCTATCAATTCTAATTTCCTATACTTCCTTATAGATTTGATTAGATCGGTATATGTCCTAATTCAATGATTCAATGTTTAGTCTTCCAAGATTGTTAATATGTGGTCTCCTCCTATAGTTAATAGCCTCAAATAGAATGTGGATGACTCTTCTCTTGGTAAGCCAGGTCCCTCTAGAATAGGTGATATCCTGCGAAATCAACATGGCCATTTTCTTGGTATTTTCTCTGTTCCAGTTGGGATTTTAGATTCTAATATAGCTGAGTTGAGGGCTGTTATCAAGGTTATTGAGCTCTCAGCCTCTAATTGTCTCCTCCATCATTAGCTTCTTCTTATTATAGAATCTGATTTTGCTAATGTTATAAGCTAGATGTATAATCCTCACAATAAACCATGGATGTATCACGAGCTTTTCTTCTTTATTAACAGATTGAATATATACTTTGGCTCAACTACCTATACTCATGTCTTTTATGAAAGTAATTACATGGCAAATTATATGGCTAAATATAGAGTACGGAGATCAAGTGAATTTGTTGCTTAGTTTTGAATCATTCATTAGTCCTGTGGATCTTCTTGTGTGTTTTATGTTGTTATGCTTGTGAGAATATGACTGGTTGTTGTGTGAGAGTAAATCTTCAGTTAGGAGGTGATTCTGATGATTATTGGTAGTTCTCCCCGGCTTCATTGCTTAATTGTATTATCTATGCAGAGTTTTATGTTGTTCTTTAGCTACTTTTGTTTTTCGCTTTCCTTAACTGGGCTGTTTTCTTTGTGTTAACCTGCCATAATATGATATTATGCAGATCATGTACTAATCTTGCTCGCCAGCTTTGGCGTTTAATGAAATAATTATCTTTTAAAAAAAAACAATTCCTTTCCTTTGTAAACATTCTTGTCCTAAAAAATGTATGTCAAAATCTAGAAATAGCAACTGAAGCTCCTTAAGATATTCCCAAGTCGAGTCTTGCGGTCATAACCCTGTCCCTTTTCTTTATAATCCTTTATTCCAAGATCGCCACAAGATTTATCTTCATCTTGCCTGTGTCATTAATTACTGAAACTGTTGAAGATACTATGCTGCATTATTCTCAATTTTCTTTCTAAGAAAGGAAACATGGAATATTGGGTGTATATTGGTTGTTGCTGGTAAGTTGGTAACTACAGTTACCAAAGTAATGTGGCTTCAACTTCATATTTCTTCTTAAAGCTACTGTTGTTTTTCTATAAGGTACACTCATTCTTCAATCATCAATGTTTTTTCTGCCTTTTTTTTATCTGCCATTTGCTCCATCGTGTTTCTTGCCATCTTTAATTGCCTTTGCAACTCCTAATTCATTTCATTCCTCTTTTTTAATAATTCCCTAAGTGCAGCTACGGTTACAATCTCTGGTAATCCCACTTCTGTAATTGGTGGTGAATTACGTAGTAGCTCTTGCAACACTGGATATAATCACTAGGTCTACTTAAAAATAATTAAAATTATATACAAAGAATTAAAAAACAACTACTAGGGCCTACAAGATTGAAGTGATGAGCAAAGATTATCCATAAGAATAGCTCAACCCAGATACATGGGAAATAACCAAAAAACATCACTGGTGACTGGATGGGATCCATTCTGTGACAGTCTTAACCATTGTGATGTGCTAACGACCGCACTTGCAAGCAATCAAATACATTTTCTCCAATGGTGTAGTGGTTTTGGAGGAATTTTGATCATGTTTTTTATTCATCATTTATAATAATAAAAGTTCCTGTGATCATATAAATGATGAATAAAAAAGCTGGATGTTGAGAATTAAATAGCAATCTCTTAAAAGGGATGTTGGGTGATTAAAAAACAATAATAATCCACGAAGCTATAGTTATTAAATCCAATATGGATCAGTTGGTTAATTTTAAAAACTCAGGATTCAAAACTTGATTTAGTGTGTCACTTGACCTAACTAAATTCAATTAAATTAACACCAATATTAAAAATAAAAAATGAAGTAATATCATTTTAAATAAAATGATTGACTGAAGTTGCAATAGTGACCTTGATTCAATAACCCTTTTTTTCTAGTCAATATTTAAGTCAAGTTTACCAGCTATATATGCACAAAGCTAAGAGCCAGATCACTCCAGCTCCATTAGTAAAGGAGAACTACAATGAGGCCACGAGGCGCATGACATCCCCAAAGTTTGACAAAATTATCATTTTAATCCTAACATTTTATGTTCATTAAAATATAACGCTGTATTTAAAACTTATTTCATAGAAAATATTTATTCGGCCCCTCAAAAAATCACCTATTATTCTATAACCATTATTTATATATTTTTATTTACAAGAGCGCATCATGCTATTTTTTTTTATTAACACCTCCGTGCTTAAAATCCTAATTCTTCCCCTGTGGAGTAGTCCGTCTAAATAAATCTCCTCCTGTCAGCTGAACAACCCGTTGGGTGATCAAACATGTTAATCATCCATTCCCATCGACTAGCTAGCCCACCACAGCTGAACTTTACGTGTCACCTCAAACAGCAATTGCCATGCAAGCACAAATTGCCCATATGTAAAGCATTCCACAGCATCCACACATACAATCGTAAAGTCATGTTCCACTATACACTACAATTGGATAAAACTATAAAATAATTAAAGTGTATGGCTTACCTTCCTGCCTTAATTAATCTCGTGTGCTATATGCCGTAGACAATAGATATGAATCACAAAAATTGAATAAATAGGCCCACAGACTGACCACACCACTTCAATTAATAACACCCATTTTCTCTCATTCTGCTCTTGAATTTTTTTTCTATCAATATAATCTTCCCCTCATATTCCTTTCAAGATTTGAAGTAAAAGATCAGGATCTTAATTTATCCTCGTAGATTGTCTCTGTTGCTTAAAGATGATAGTGGATGAGAAATTCTGTTTCAAAGAGGCAACGAACCTTACAGTTCATAAGACCTCTGTGTTCTTCCCAGGCGATGGCTTCATCGTCTATGATCCTAACAGGGAAATCATCTTTCGTTTTGATTCTTATGGCCCTGATTCTGAGCCTAAAGATGAGCTTGTTCTCATGGATGCCGGTGGCAAGGGCCTCCTCACCCTTTGTCGAAAGGTTAGCTGCTGCTTTTCTCTCTCTCTTTTTTTTTGGTCTTTCAAGCATCGCTTTGGAAAATTAGTTCCATACTTCAAGGTTCAATTACTGTAACATTTAATCTCTTTGAAATTACAGACGATACTGCTTTTGTTAATAGAAAAACCTGACAGTTCTTCCGGCATTAATTGAACCTGTAAGAGTAAATTATCTTTTAAGTCCATGGTTTTTTAATGTAATTATAAATTAGCTCTTTTTCCTGAAAAATCTATAATTTAATCCCTCGATTCTTGTTGATTGTTGCCCTATTAAAATTATACTCTGGTACCCTTAAATTCCAAATGTAATACCAACGTAGTGTGAGGATTTAGATGAAAGGAAAAAAAAAAACGAATAAATGTTTTAACAAGTCAAGTCAAAAGATTTAGTTTTGGATTCATAAGAAAAAAAGAGGACTTAGATATAGGCTTAGAAAAAGGACTAAGCTGTAACTTTAATCAAAAGGCAGGGACTAAGGAATAGTTTACTTCAAAGAAACTAAATTCCCTCCATCGTGGCAAAGGTTGATTCGAACATTGGCATTTTAGTGTTTGATAAAGTTAATCCCTCCATTTAGGGATTAAAAGTTAATAACATTTTACTTCAAATGGATTATCCGAAGGAAGAATCATAGTTTAAAATTCAGTTTGATTTGGTAGGTTGATCTGAAACTTAATTGATTTGGGGTTGGAATTGTTCAGGTTTAAAAAAATTAAAAAATTTGAGTGACCAGTAATCTAATTAACCCAACAAAACTTAATTAAAAATCCAATTATAATTTATTAATTATTTATTTTTTTAATGAAAATATCATTATTTTAATTTATAAAAAATTAGAATTGAGCTAGGTGACCTGATCAAATAACTCGATCAAAACCTATAAGCTAAGACTTGGAGTGAATCGGCCATTAAATCAGGTTTAAAAATTCTAGGACGAATCAGCAGCGAAGGATTAAGATGGTTTAACTGCAAATGTCAATAAATCTATACATAAGATATGCAATCCAGATGTTGCATTAATTAATAAACACTGAAAAGAAGTCCCAGTCCCCACGCTAACAATTTTCTTCTAGTTTTTAACACCAATATCCACCGTGGAGTTATTAAGATCCTTAGCAAATTAAGTCACCTCTATCTATTTAATTATCCACTGAACAACAAGAGTAAGAAAAGCATTCATTAACTTGCCACTTTCTTCATCATCATTCAATAAAATTACGATTGTAATTGTTTTTGGTTGGAGAATGAGGGAAGGGATGTCAGCTGCTGGGAAGGGATGTTAGGATACTGGAGAAGAGAGCAAGAGGAACAGAGTGAGACAAGGGGTAGAGCGTCGGGTATGTATATATATATATAGTTCAGATTGGATTCGGGTATGATTTCAGGAGAGAATAATATTCATATTTTATTTAAACTCTAATATTACCTTTCTTGAACCTGAACAAGTAAAGGAAAAATCTCTACTCATTTAGATTGGTTTGAATTAGAATTCATCAGCTTCAATTGAAATTGTCATCCCTAACTCAATCCAATTCAAATATTAATTTCTAGCTAGCTTCAAACTTCAATGAATCAATATTGTAAGTTTAACGAACCAAGTTTCATATAAAAATTCCCCCCTAATGTATACACGTTCCTGTCTCAAGTTTCTGCATGGTCAGGGTTTCAGAGAATAAATAAATAAACTTCTTTGTTCTATTAATGAAAAAAGAAATCAATATGGATTCTTGTTTTCTTTGATTTGTTGAAAACAGAAGCCAAGTCTTCATCAACGGTGGGAAGGCTTCTTAGGAGAGAGGATGGAAGATCATCAAGAACCAGTTTTTAGTGTTTGCAGATCTAGTATCATCGGACGCTCCAACATGATCGTACAGGTTTTTGGTGATCCAGGTGAGGAGTACCATATCAGGGGTTCTTATTCTCAGAGATGCTGTACAATTTTTAACACATCCTCGGAGAATTCATCAAAAGATCCGGTGGCTGTGATCAAAAGAAAAGTGGACCCCTCAACTCATGTGATGCTTGGAAAGGATGTCTTTTGGCTTTGTGTAAGGCCAGGGTTTGATGGTGCTTTTGCAATGGGATTGGTTCTGGTTCTTGATCAAATGTACGGTCACAATGCTGATGGTGATGTGCAGGACACAGACCCTACCTCCGAGGATTTTTCCTCTTAAGCCTTTTATTTAAGGTTTCTTATAGATAAAACTAAATTACTGACTCGTGATATTTCCCATATTTCGAATTAAGTTTTTATTGAATATAAAAAAATATTTAGATATTATTAATATTTTTTATTGAAAAAAACTAAAATTATATAAGGATTGATTTGATATAATTTAGTTAAATTTAAAGATTTATAAACAACACGAACAATTCGTAAAAACATAATTTGACTCATTTTTTTTTAAATAATATTTTTTTACTATTAAAATAACAATATATTGGATTGACTTAGATAAACCTGAGTTAGCATGTCATATTCACAATATAGGTTATGAGACTTTGATAGCTTTATAGAAAGTAAATCAAAGTTAATTATGAATTATTATTTCCAATCAATATAATATTGAAGGATAAAAATGAAAAAAATTAATTAAAATTTTTTTAAAAACAAATTAGGTTTACCTGTCAAACCCGCGATACAAGTCATATGACCAAGATAACCTCGTTGAAAGCAAATCAATAAAATTACAAAGTCTTATTACTATCTAATTTTTAACTCATGTTTTGATAATTTTTCAAAAAAAAAGAGAGAGAGTATGTGGTGATAACATAGAACATTATGACTAATATTAAGTAAGTAATATGTCAAGGAGATAATTACTGAATTATATATAATTACTGCAATATAAAATACCATAGATATAAGATTTGATTTGCGTTGGTTATGAAAAATAATCACTATAATATAAAATACCATATATATAGGATTTGTTGGTACTGGTTATAGAAGACAATCTCTGTAATAATTATTGTAATATTTCCTTGAATAACACATGTAGAGATTTTCTATATAAATAAATCTCCAGTCATATGTACATGGGGAATTTTATAGGGGAAAGGGTAGAAAAAAAAATATTACAATAAAAAGCTAACTATGATCTTTGGCGGTGGCACGTGAAGGAGACATATGTCATGTGTCCTGCAGTCTAGAAGTCTTCCTCTGCAATTCCTAGATTTTTTTAAGGGCTATTTTATGAATTTAAAATTGTGAAATGTAATTTTTGTTTGGTTAGTTTTGAATTTTTATAATTTATAGTGGAGATGTAACCAAGAAAAGAAAAGAAAAAGGAAAAAATATAGTAAAAGTGTATGTGTGTGTTTGCATGTTTTCATGGATTTTTTTTTATGATAAAATTGCAAAAATAAAGAAGAATTTAATATTTTGATTTGCTTACGGTTAAGAATTATGAAATTATACGTAAGTCATATTTCTAATATCCGATGAAAGAACAAAATTTTTAAAACTTCTTTATCACATCAAAGCCACGAAACAGTTTACTTCAAGTAGGGTGCGTTAAGGGTGCTAATACCTTTTCTAATCACAAGCAGTCCTTTACCCATGAATCTTTTACAAGACCATTGCAATCAAGTTTTCTAGTAGCCCTCAAGTGAATACTAGGTGGTGACTCTTAACGAATGAATCAAAGTATAAATGACAACAAAAAAAAAAATCGCCAGCCGATGTTGCGGGGCGATGTGCTACATTTTTTATGAGATCAATTTTTTTTATAAGGAAATTTATCTTTTTTTGAACATTATTTCCTTTAAAAAATGTTGCACGTGTATGGTGTTGTGACGATCATCCACCACTCCCGAAAAGTGTAAAGGTCTATCTAGGCAAAACATGGTAAGATAAGGAATTCTTGTCTTTTTCATGGAAAAAGGAAATGAGAGTCGTCACCTAGTATCTTGGTCATTAGGAACTTTAACTGGTCTTAGAGATGGGGTATGAAGACTGGTTGCGTAAAGGAAAGGTATTAACACCCCAAATACACCCTATATAAGGTAAGCTGTATTGTTTTATTTCTAATTATTGGTCCATCTAAATGGTCAAGAAAAGTCCTTTTCAATAAGAAGGTCTTCATCTTAATATGGTAAAATCTAATCTTTCTAGTGTCCAAAAAAAATTAATATTCGGAATACATATTACGTGCAATGTCAAACCCCAGATACTAAAAGACAAATAAAATAAAAATTTTGTTGTTTTTAAAATTTTGGCCAATATTCTCTTGACTTTAATAAATTGGTTATTAAAACTAAAATACATGTTAAAACATTATTTTTTGGTGTATGAAAAACACAATATGATATTTTAACTTCGAGACACTTAACCATATGCACAATTTTGTTTTGTCTTTTTTTAAATTTTTTTTATTGGAAGTTTTGACGAAAACCGAGTATTTTAATATCGGATTTTGTATTCTTAGCAATATAAAAATACTACCCGATATTAATCAAAATAACATAAAAAATACACGGGAAAATTATAAAATTTCAAACAATATTTTTATGTTTTTATTTTAACAAAAAAGCAGGGTCGGACCTGACCCAACCATTCTGGGTTGGGCCTGACCCGGTCCATATATCATGGACTACACTGATGTTCAAGCCTATAACTAAAATAAGTTGTATACTGTGCATGAGCACAATAACCAGCCAACTCTATTTTTGCTATAGAACATGATTTATTCACGTTCTGCATGCAAATGCAGGCAAGACTAACAAATAGGGAAGAGGGAGACAGTTACCTGGAGTGGTGGCAACCTTGGTGGCTGTTGGCAGAAGCGGAGGTGGTGGGGGTGAAGGCCATCCTTTTTTTTTCTCTATGTTTTTTTGCTATGTTTTTTTTTCCTGTTTCTACTATCTTCCTATGTTTCTCTGCTCGACGCTACCGGTGGCGGTGTAGAGGAAGAGAAATAGTGGTGCTGTTCGGCTGAAAGTTGCAGGTTGTAGTGATTTTCCTCTCTTCTCTTCTCTTCTTTTCCCCTGTTTTTTATTTTTTCTCCTTACTATTTTTTTTATTTTTTTTCTTCATCCTCTTTCCTTTCTTTTGGTCTCTTTTTTTTTCTTTCTTTTCCGCTCCCCCCTCTTTCTATCCTCATCTCTCTTGTATTTATAGGCTACAACAAGGGAAAGATATGGACGGGGGGCCACTGTGCAGTTGTCCTATAACTGCTTGAAGAGGCTTGCCTCCTCCATTTCGCCAACACGTGGGAGGCCACAGGTCAGCTTAACAAGTGGGTGTCCTTGGTCGGTGTCTTTTTTATGCTTTTAAGAGAAAGAAAGTTGGTGAAAAAAATAGAAAAAGAAAAATCTTCTTCTTCCCCTGCTTTGCGCATCCAGGGGAAGAAGAAAGGCTATAGTGCCGTTTAAAACGACATAATTTTAGGTTTTTTTTAAATAATATATGAAACGACGCTGTTTTAGCCAAAAAACACCGTTACATTTAAATGAGAAGGGCGCAAAACTTATGTCAAAGTCCAAATTAGTCTTTAATTTGTAATTTATTCAATTAAGTCCTAAATTGCAAATTTGATTTAAAATTCAATGCAATTGCATCCCTGCCAAAAATCAAATAGCGACCTTGAAGTTGGTTTTTTTTTTCACTTTGGTTATTGGTATTGAATTTATGCAATTTAACCCTTAATTGATTAATAAACTTCTAATTTTTTCAATTTGACCCCTGATTTGGTTTAATTACAGCCCTTCTATTTACGCGTGTTTTTCATTTTAGTTTTTGATTTTGGATTTCTTCAATTAAGTTCCTAATTGGCTATTAAACTTCAATATTTATGCAATTAAGCCCCTGATTTGACCAAATTAACTTTAAAAAATTATAATGTGATCCCAGACTTTAATTTTTCTAATTAAAGCCCAAATTGACTTTAAAATTAATTTTTATTAAAATCAAACCCTCCATAAATTCAATTAAACCTTTAATAAAATTTAATTGAGTTCATAAACATTTAATTTTGGATTTTTCTTCCTCAAATTGAATTTTCTTTGTCAGTTGGGCTCTCATTAGTTAACGATATATTGTTAAATTTTAATCCTTGTATTTTTAAACTTTCTCAACCAATTTTAGTAATTTTTTGAGCACTTTAACATCTTTTTTTCATTGTTATTATTTTTTTTTGGTTTTTTCGAATATATATTTTTTTTGATTTTTTTTGTATTTTCTTCTTTTTTGTGCTGGGATCCAAAATGGGTTACAATAAAAAAAAATTATAACCCGACCCCGTAATTGAGTGCGAGTCTATATATTATGAAATCTAATCACTAATAATTTGCCCAACTTGTTTTGAAAAGTCCTCTTTATTTGAATTTGATATATCATAAAAGAAAAGGATATCCATAGTTGCATTTTTTCATGATTCCAACAATGCATGAAAAAAAGTTTCAAAGATTAATACAAGTATCACTAAACCAGAAAATCTGGTAACTAATACATTGTTGCAATGTCTTTCATGTTGTAGATATTCTAAGATGTCCTCTTCATTCTAATATATTCTTAGAGAAGAAAACAAAATTTGTACTTATAATTTTCATGATTTGCGTAACATGTACACAAATAAGACAATGTATTGGCAAATAGCCAAATATATGATAGCATTGAGACAGATGAAGGTGTGTGAAGACTTCATTTTGACTTGAATTTGCGTCTCCATTAAAATTAAGTTTTTTTACAGTAATTTGAAAAATGTATTCTACACATCTACATATAAATAAATATATAAATTATTCTGTATGACAACCCTAAAATTTGAAGCAAAAAAGAATAAGAAAGAGATAACGAAACCTCCTCAACTATGAAAGTAACCTTTTCAAATGAAATAAACTCACGAGGATCAAGACCATTTCCAGTGACTTGATAGGAGAATCTTCTCCGTACTTAAATGTGAAGTTGATTGGTGCTGAAGCTAGGGCATCGTTGTTTTTCTTCGTACATTTTCTTGTTCGGCCATTGTTAGCCTAGAATTCAAAGAATATCAACATGCCAGCTAGAAATTATATCAGAATTATATAAATTATAAGTATGCTGAGGAGAGCTTATCTAGTAAATTAACAACTTACTAGCTTAATATTCTTTTTTAATATAATATTAATGTTTTTTTTCATCAAGTCATTACAACTTTGAATTTCATTATCTTTATAAAATTTAAATATAAAATAGTAAGAGTTTATACTAATTTTAAATTAAAAAAACTTTCACTTAAAAAATATATTAAAAAATTATATGAATTATACCTTAACAAATTTAATTGTTTTTTATAGAAATAGATCGGATCAAGCATTGGTTGGGGGGCCAACAACATGAATTGCTTGCTTGCTTGCTTTTTTCCTTTTATATCTTTTATTGCAAATTCTCAGCTTTCACGGACTAGATTGCTGTGGTGGTTTTCCTCTCCGGCTGGATTTGGAATGGTATTCACACTTAGAATAGTGTCTTTAATCTCTCTTTTTCTTGCACATATATATCAGAGAAATAATTAATACACCAAGGCAGTTTCCCTATCAATATCTGTTGGCAATGTATCACTACTATCTCTTTCAGAATCTGACTCACTATACTACAAACTGTAACCCAACATGATATATTCCATGAATTGTCACGAGGGTTCATTATCTAGTCACATAAAAATATTCATAGCATGCTTTAATCGATCGATTCAGTGACAATACATTTTAAGGAAGCTTGTGCTTTCAATTGCCATGTGACATGCAGACAACTAAATTAGCAGTGATCCTTTGGTTCGTCCTCGAGTAATTTTCAGGAATTTATTTTATTGTTAGTTGTTGGAGGACCCTTGCTCCTAGCTAATCATTATTTTCCACGCGATTCGACCATGGAAGCCAAGAACATTTTATCGTGGAAGGAGGGGTAAATTAAAATGGAGTGTTTGACAATATTTTTCAAAATAGTTTTTATCTTTGAATTATTTTTTTATTTTTTTTATTTTTAATATCAGTAAATCAATACCATTAAAGAACCATTTAAAATAATAATCAATTTAATATTTTTTTTAAGTTAAAAATATCAAAAACACTTGAAAACAGGAGTAGAAGGTGTGGCAAACCAGCCTGCAGTGCTGGCTTCTGGACAGCCATTTTCAAGAGTGGGTAGATGACATTTGTGAGTGGGAGAACCCATGCATTGCTAGGGACATGTCAAGGGCAGTTTGAAGCCTTTCTCAAACATAAATGTTGGAATTTATAGCACTTCTACTTTATAATATATGGTACACAACAGAGGAGAAATAAGGGGTTGATCACTTCTACTCTGCCTGGGCATGGGTGGTTGGAGTAATTCAATAGACCCACCATTTGTTACTCAACCTTCGTAAAATACATGTGAATGTTTTTATTTTAAAAAAAACTTTATGGCTCCCCATATGATTTTTCGTTCATTTCAATGGTTTTGGGAAAAAAAAAGAAAAAAAAGAGTGAAATCTGTTGTTAATCCCTTTAATTCATGCTTATTAAAAATGTTGACTATTATTATTTTGTTCATGTTAAAAAGAAGAAAAAAGGAGAATGAAAAGGAAGAAACATATAGTGCTTCTTGATTGAAAATTGGAGGGTCTATAAAAGAATAGATCCCCTTCCTTTTTTCTTTCGTTAGATATATAGCCATTAAACCAAATGTATTCAGCATCTCATCTTTTCCATCTTTCCCCTTCATATCCAAATCATCCAATACCTTTTTTAAAAAAAAAGTGTACACCCTGCTCGTATACTAAAATTAAGCAAAGATAACCATCTAGGTGGTGGCCAAATGATAAAGACTTGGGATCAAGAGGTTTGCTCCCTCTGTGGTCTCAGGTTCGAGTCCTTGGTTGCTCATATGATGGCCACTGGAGGCTTACATGGTCGTTAACTTCAGGGCCCGTGGGATTAGTCGTGGTGCGCGCAAGCTGGCCCGGACACCCACGTTAATCTAAAAAAAAATTAAGCAAAGAGTTATAAAGTTTGTACTAGAAAAAAAAAAGAAGACAAAACTTACTTACAAATTAGACTTGATGAAGTCTAGATTTACATAAATGATCACATGCCACCACAAATATGTAATAACAAACTTACAAAGCGGGCTTGAGTTGTTCTGGGCAAATGACAATAATGAAAGTGATGAAAGGAAGATATAAAAAAATTACATGGTGCCTGATCCATGAAACAATGAATGAACTATAATTAGTATGTAATTACAAGTTATCTTGAATATAATAAGATGAATGATTAACTATTGAAAGTTATCTTAAACTTTTTTATTTAAAAAAATATGGAAGGTAGGAAAAGACATAGCAACAATTTAACAAATCAATAATAATGATTGATCTATAATTAAATTAAGTTTGTAGGATCTCCAATACCTATTTATCAATAGGATTGTAATCTCGTAGGTTAATAATTTGTAGATATATAATATGTAAGCAATTATTAATATGTTTATGATTGTAGGCATGTAATCAAGTAAGCTTTTAGTTTTCATTAAAAAAAATCCAAAATAATAATAATAAAAATACATATCAATCCATGTTCTATTGTCAAGGATTTTTCATATGTGATTGTAATTAAATTAAAGATCATTGTCAAGGATTTCTCATACGTGGTTGTAATCAAATTAAAGATCACTACATGAATGTAAGGTCTTTAATCTTCAATTATTTTTTAAATTCAAAGCATTCAAGTTATATGATTACTTCTTAAATTTACAATTATTTTTTTCTTATATAAAACGAGCATAAAATTTTAAACTTGTAACATCATTATAAATTTAGAATTAAAAGTCTAGAATTATAGTTGAAATATAAAATTACAGTATTTTCGATCAAACTAGAATTAGTGCTTCTTTGAAATTCAAAATCTTATTAATTGAAGCAGACATAAAATAACCCTAGAAAACACCTCCATGCTCATCTGGTTTAGTCCCAAAATAGTCAACTGTGACATATAATAGTTGTTTTACCAAGTTATAGCATCTGATAACCTCTATCATTAGCGTTGTTCAATGCTGTGTAAACATGAAAGGATCTCGCCCTACCTGTAACTTAAGACAAGCTTTGTATGTACGAGGTCGATCCAAAGCAGATAAGCCCATGACTTCCAACCCAAATCATTTGCAAAATGTAGAATGTTTATGTTTTACTGCTCTTGCAATATGTAGATGTGTAAGTTTTTTTTTTTTTTTTGACAAAAGCTAATGAGGTCAACTTTCAATTCTAAGAAGGAAAAACTTTTACTTGCTCTAATTAACTAAATTCTGCCAGCATGACAATAGTTTACTGTCATGATTACAAGGGATTTGATTCTGGGGTATGGTGTAGATAAGATGTCATTTTTGTTTGTGCCCATGCTTGGGCAACCTGTAGTCAGACCTGGACACCCATGCTAGGGAGAGAGACTTCAGTGGCAAATGCCATCTTTTTTGCTTTCGACACCCACCCACGTCAAAACCACTCTTTGCCTTTTCTTTTCTTTTTCCCAAGAAATGAGTATGACCTCCAAAAAAAAACCCACAAAGCCTTTCACTATATAAAAAAGAAATTTTTGGTAAGCTCTCAAAAATTATTGTAGGAAGGGCAGGCAAACTATGGGAAAGCAACAACTTTTCTTTTTTCTTCCTCTCTCTAGTCTTTTGTGCTCCTCCCCAGCCAACAAAAAAGTGAGAAACTGGAAAAATTGATTTGAAAGAATTGAAGTGACCTTGACCCATGTAGTGTCCTCTCCTCTCTCTTATTTAAAACCCTCTAACATCTTCCCCGTTCTTTCTTTCTCTTTATCTTTTTTTTTAACTACAGTGGTTTTGGTTTTGTGTGTGTTTTTGAAGTGAGCGAGAGTGTGTGTGTTTAGCGAGGGAAGATGCCAAGGCCAGGGCCAAGGCCTTATGAGTGTGTGAGAAGAGCTTGGCATAGTGATAGGCACAAACCCATCCGAGGTTCCATGATTAGACAAATTTTGAGGTTCTGGGTCTTGCTTATTTTTGCTTATTTTGAATAAAGATTGAATCTTTTTTATGCATTTTGTGATTGTAAAGTTTGTGTTTTGATTAGGATGGCCTATGACACTCACAGTGCTGCAACTAAAGGGAACAGGGAGTGGCAAGATAAGCTTCTTCTTGTGGTGTACAAAGCAGAGGAAATCATGTACTCTAAAGCCAACTCTGAGGCATGGCTAAACTTTTTGTTCTTCTTTTCGTCTATAGATTCTTGGATCTTTATTAGGTTTGTATTGTGTTTTTGAACTCATCAATACATGGTTTTTGTTGTTTAGTCTGAGTATATGAACCAAGACACTTTATGGGACAGAGTAAATGATGCCATCAACACCATTATTAGGAGAGATGAGAGCGCTGAAACTGGAGATCTTTTGCCTCCCTGTATTGAAGGTACTGATTTCTTTATGCAAGCTCATGTTTCTTGGATCCAACTTTGAAATTATGTTTTTGGGTTCTCATTTTGGTAGCATTGTATCTCAGAGTCAGACTTCTCTCTCCCCCCCTCTCGATAATATCAAAGTTTAAGACTTCAATTTGCTTTGTAACAATTGTATTTGAGATTGCAGCATGCTAAGTTCTTAAAGCATGCATTGATCTAAGCTTAAATTGTGTAACTCAGGCTTGTTTTAATTTGCAATTATACATTGTCTGTAATAATTGTAGCGGAGTTGTTGTATCATGTCTAGTTTGTTGAAATGTTATTTAGCTGCCCTTAATTTGGGATGCAAAGTGGAGAGAGCTTCGAGAAGTCAACGACACAGCAATCCCAGGAGCTACCTCAGCCCGAGAACACAAGAATCGGCGTCTGTACCTCCTAGAGCTATAGATAGAACTCATGATGAACAAGGCCTTCAGTCAATGCCAGTTCACTCTATCAATCAATTGAATATTGCAAGAGACACGGCAACTGGGAATCCAGATCTTTCGGTTTCAGAGTCTAATAATCATTTGGCTGAGAATAGTAATGTTGCTTACAGTTACCCTTTCTTGTATGAGAATATCCCACCTGGCAGTAATCAGCTGACAACAAGGGAAGCCGACATGCACCAGAACTTTGGTTCGGTTTATCCCTTGTATTGTGCAAATCAATATCAAATCGAAGCGTCTGATGTGGTCTCCCAATTTCCGATGAAGACGAAATCCAACACTATATTTGTGGGCAAACCTATTGGTACATCTGTTGCACCACATAGGGAAATGGGTGTCTTGCAGACAGTTTTCTCATGTTCCAGTGCTGAAGTTGGTTCCACGAGAATCACACAAGCAGATTTCAGAAATACCCATGACAAGCCAACTGGCACACAATGTGATTTATCCTTGAGGCTGGGTCGATACTCAGACCCGGGCATGAGCATAGAAAGAAATCAAGCTCAAGAAAATGAAAACGCTGGCTCAAGCAGATTTCAAGAAAGAGACAAGTTTAGTGTTTTTTCTCAACAAAGAAACAAGGAATTCTGTTTTTTTCCTGGTACAAGTACTAGGGATCCCTCTGGATCCTGTTCGGTTAAGTGGGTTTCAGAGGGTGATGATCAGAATTTGGAGACAACCATCAGAAAGCGCAAAGCGCCCTTCAGAGACAATGCAGAGGATGGACATTTTTGCTGGCAGTCCAACATGTTCATTGGTCGAATAGAAGGGCCAGGTTTGTAGGCATTGTTTTTCCCGTTGTAGTGTCTATGCTTAAAAATTTGAGGTGGCTAGAATTATGCTGGTCAATCCTTTTTGCAACCTCATTTTCCTATGTAGTAGTTCAGATCACAGATTTACACGCTAACAGCGAGATTGCAACCTGGGATTTAGTGGAAAAGGTGAGTTGTAAATGAAATCTGAGTTCGATCTAAACTATACTGGTTAGTGACATAACTTGCAAAATTGAGACATCTAGCCATTACCAAAATCCAAATAGGTATTTTGGGAACCAGTTTAGCACCACACACATTTATTCATTCAACCTTGCATTGAATATTCTTGAATTCATTAAAAAAAAAAAGATTTTAGGAGGCATTTTGGAGAAAGGAAAGTAATTTACACAGTGGGAGGAGGATATATGAGAAACTTAAGACTAATAAGGACTGCACTGAACCACAATGAAACCAGTCTACGGAAATGTCCTGGTATGACATTGAGGGGCCTCTTCATGAATGGCTACTCTACCATGCTAGAATAACTTCTCCAGTTTCTAGGTAAATGTTCTGTACTTAAATGATTATGTATATATGTTGATTAATTCAGGAGTGAATCTAACAGTTACTGTGAGTTAGCTGTAGGTCATTATTCTTAAGCTAAATGAGTTCATCTGAAAAAAATAAAAATAAAAATAAAATCAGGATAGTTTTTTGTGGTGAGTCTGTTCTGTAGAGGATGGGGTTAGTGATGACCAGTTTCCTAGTATAATTGTCTGAAGAAAGATAATTTTGTGCCCTGTTTTTGTTTGTATGATTTTACATTATTAGGTGTCAGCTAGGGCAATATCCCCTGGGTATACTTGCAAAATTATGATGTGAATAATGTTCCTGTATTCCTTTGTGTATATCAATTGAGCATTTGAAGGTAACTGGCTTGACAAAGAGGGTGGATTACCATAGAAGTAACTAGTAATTAAGAAGACATGCTAAGAATGTGGAAAGGTATAAAGTATAATTTTCTGGGGTTACTTCAGCACTTTTGAGAATGATTTAGGAGGTTACTTTTATATGTTTTCTGTAGCAGGGATCTCTTTGAAGATAGGAGTATAACTTTTTGTGGTTTTAAGTGAGCAGTGACATAAAATAGGAGGTTGTTAGTAAGTTTGTTTTGCTGTTCAATTGAGCATTTGAGTTTACTGTATGTGAAATGTGAAACTTCAACGGCTGAGAGTTCAATGGTGGATTGGAGGAGTTATCAAAATATCATTTTGGTCCTTTCTCTATGTCTTCAATGTTTCATGGAAGAAGATTAATAGACCTTCCAATAATGCCATGCTCCTTTCATTCAGGATTAAAGAATAGTCTTGAAATCTTTTCTTAAACGGCAATGGCCAGTTGGTGGTGTGAAAGCAGTGATTGACTTCTTTCTTGAACTATTCTTTTAACATCAGCAAAAAAAATGGATGATTCCTTTTCTGGTTGTTTATATGTTCTGGAACTTAATTCACTGTTTTTGCAAAAAACGATAGGCTTCTAACCATCATTCGTCATGCAGCTTTCCAAACAATAGTGCTAAAAAGAATCTAAGCTTTGTCAACAACTTCCTATAAATATTTGTTAATTTGAAACTAATATGGTAAGATTTTAAGATTTTTCCCAGATGTTGCAATGGTAGCAATGTGATTTAAAGATAACAAAGCATGAAATTCCTTAATGCCTGGTCCCGCTTTCTCCATTTCAGCTTTTACTGCTTCACTCGTTTCTTCAGTTTTTTTTCCTTTTCCATGCCTAGCAACTCAACTGTTACCCTGTTACCTCAGCATGGGCATTTATGTTGATTTGCTGAAAAGACCTTGTTGGGAGCTGCTTCTGTTTTTATTGTAGGTGCTGAGATCTTTTTTGAAAGAATGGTAGGATTCTCCATAGCATGCTCTTGGCAATCATTCTATAGCAGTGGATGTAAGCTGCATAATTGTACAAGTATAAATATTCAAGAGTGTTTATATTCTGCTACTTTTAATTGTGACATAAGAACGCAAATTCTATTTGATAACTCTTGCACGTGAATATTCTTTCATCTATTGTTGTGTTATCTGAATTCAAACTTAACCAGGCATACCTGATTGGTTTAATTTGGCTGTTAATGTTATCATGTTGACCAGATGTCTGAGTCTTATGCACGAGTAACTCTACTGAAAACTGAAGTTACTATGAGGTCAAAAGGAGTGAACAATTTCAACTCCGTAGCTCTATTCTCCATAATTGACTGGTTTGAGTTAATACAAGTCCATTGATCTGTGCTATCGATCCAGGGGCAAAATTAAAATAAAAAACCGGAGATTTCCATGAATAAGGGTTCAATTGCTAAATGTTAGAACTTCAGGCAAGCAAATTGAAAATAGCCATTTCAGTCGAGAAAACAGCACCGTTTTGCAAATCATTGTTCATCACCTCCACCTTCATCCTACTGATTCAGCAGTAAGGCATAAAAAAAC